AAAAGATAAATTAAAAAAAACACAGCTAAACATTGATTTGTTTTTTGCCACGTGGTATGTTGAATGCAGCACTGGTTCAAATTAGACATTTGTGATGTCAAAACACAAAATATACAGTTACATATGAATTAGGAACTCAAACTACCAATATTGACAAGCTAGAATATAAAATAAGAACGTCTTACCTTTCCTATTTCCCAAGAAATTGCTCCTGTACTGAATCAAACACAGTGGCCCCTCCACCCACCTCTTTCTATTTTTGAAAACGGTCCCTTATACACACTTACTTCTATATATGACATGAATAACCAATCAAAAGCTCAGAATGTCCCCCTAGTGGTTTTCTCAGCCATTTTGATGTGTTATTGTGCTAAGTTCATTCTTTTCACACAATATTTCAAATGACGAGGTAAGTCTTTAGTGAGCTCGAAATTTCATATTTTTTTGGAACCAAATACAGCTTAGTTACTATACTCAATAAATTATAGTGGAAGTCTACGGTATCCATATAGTAATTTATGATTGTTTTTGGTTAATTAAAATATATAAAAACTAAAAAAATATATCTTTTTACATCCTCCACGTGGGAAATTTCATAAAACTTAGCAACCTATGACAAGTAGCAAACGAGTACAAAGGTTGTAACTAGAAGAGATAATTATTTGCTTTATTTTATTTACTGTTCTATGTTTTAAAAAAAATAAGTTTAAGAAATTATTTGTAATAGAAATAATGTATATAATATATATCTAATGTATAATAGTTGAAATGTGACTGTATTTTATGCAAATACTAGTACAGTAAAACACAGCCAAGACAGGTAACTTTGTAAAGACTAAAGGTGAGTTATATATTATTGGATATAGGAGCACTAGTTCACGTGCACCGCATCATTGTAACTTTTGTATTGTTAGCCAGGCACAGTTGGAAGGTCACTATAATCACAATAATAAATATATATAAATGTATAACGTTATGAGATTCAGCTAGACTAAAATTTTGTGTTTTTGTGTTATAATTTGTAGTCATTCTAGAATGAAAAAGCATAATTTATATTTTTTTACTAATTCTTTTATTGAGGTTACAAGGTTGGTCATATTGAACAAACCCGTAAAGAATATACTAGTGAAAATAATAAATAAAATAATAGTTTTTTAAACAAAAAATTTGATAATTATCTGGAGATTATAAAGATTTTGCATGTGAAATTTGAAAATGTTTTAATGCATTGATGTATTTTTAATCTTAAAATCAAAATTGCTTTGCATATTGGATGGTCAACATTCTGAAAGCAAAAGGTTTATGAGAAAATCTTTAATTAAAAAATCTTAATACTTTATTCAAAAACCTGATACTTTGCGTACAAAAACCTTGTAATGTTTATCAATAACCTGCAAGTTTTTTAAAGATGTGCTTACATTATGAAAAATCATAATATAATTACTCTCATGGATACTTTCATGGTTATGAATTTTCTAAAAGAAATATATACAACAGTTTTTAAACTTGGAATAAGTTTATAAGTAAACTGACTGAGGTATCTACCACTGCTAGGATGGATTAAAAATAGAAAATGGAGGTATACAAATAAATACTTGCATGTAAATATACATAAAGCAGGTAATTTCAACAGCTAAAGCGGTCTATTCTATCTTGAAAACATATCTCAGAAAACCACTGATACATTTTCATTTGGTATACATTTCTTTGTAAAGAAAACCTCTCTTTATAATGAAGTAAAAATATAAAATAACAAAAGTACTAGTATTTTGTATTATTAACTTAGGATCTATGACTTATCCAGGCTGAAATCCTTAAAATGTGGTGATAAAATTTGCACACCATATGATCTGGTAGTACTTTTTTTTAATTTTTGGGTATTTTATTAATTAGACTTGGGTCTAAAGAATCTAAAACAACAAAAAAAAGCTGGAACTGATATTGATAAAACTTCTAAACTGATTGTCAAAGTTGACCCATGTTGATGAGGATCAACTGCTATTTTGGTGTAACTGTATCCAGAAATTTCAGCACAAATAATGAGTATTTGAATGAGAAAGAGGTAACAGACAAAGTGCACAAGATGGTTATGTTTGGTGATGTGTTTGTTCTTAGGCACAAAGCTACAAAACTGACTATTCAATCACCATTTTCAAGGCCCAAAACAACAGCGGTCTTTGCTTTCCAAGAAGAAAGATAAGAAGTTTTCTTATTTTCGTTTCTACTTTGCCCTCTTTTTCTTGATAACGTCTCTCACTAGATATCCCATTTTGGTCAAATCTATATCATATGTATTTATTATACTTTAAGTAAATTCTGACTTTATAGGTGCAAGTAAGAGGAGACACAGGATAATCTTCTGATGTTTCAATAATATTCAACAATCGTTTCTTACTCTTTAAAACAAGAAATGGCATAGAAACAAACAATCAACATTTGGCCATAAAATGGAAAATATTTGTCAAAATAAAGGTAAAGAATATTGAATAAATAACTCCCCAAAGAAAAAAAAATGTTACTGACATTTCAACTTCACAGGATGAAAACCTAATCTACCAGTCATCATTTTAGCATATTTTTAGTAAGTTGGAAAATTTTTTAGATGTTACATACCACATATTTATCACCAATCTCAACTTGGTTAAGGCACAAACTTTAAGCATAAGAAGAAAGAAAGAAAAAGAACACCAGTAAGGAACACTTCTCTTTGCTCCTTGGATATGAAAGCTTCTTAAAATGTGGATTATAACACTAATTTAAAAATAACAAATGCTCCTCAATTATAAATAAATACTAAAATGTCAAACACGAACACACATAAAAAAACAACAATAATTAAAACTGTGTGACTATGTGAAAGCAGAACAGTAACATTACCTGAATTTATAGTTAATTTTACTTTTATAATAACACAACATTGCACTGGTTGCTAGTCAGGGTAATATTAAATGAAAATTAATTTCAGGTGGACCGAAAAAATAAATGTTTGATTTGTCAATTTTAACCTAAAAACCTGCAAACAAGCCTTTGAAAAAAACAAATTTTTAACAGTGTGAGCAACAATATATAAAAATTTAATATAACAACTCACCATTCATTTCACTAAATATACAAAGGCATAATGTCACAATTTTAAACCAGTATCGAATAGTAAAGAGACTATAAGAAGACATATCTGCTCTCCATAAGTTTGAAAGTTAAGAATAGTTCGAGAGTTAAAAACTGTTGGTGAGCCTCTGCTGTTAAAACAAGCTTTTTAATTTAATAACATTTACCCTGCAGTTGAACAAAGCCATATGCTGAAGATATAAAAAAGAAACAGCAATGGTCCTGCACATTTTGAAGTATATATTCGTGCATTAATTCACATGGGTTAATTCATTAAACAACACTATAATCTGATGAGGTTGTAAACACAATGGTATGTTATTAAATATGCAATATTACAGGTACCAAGAATGCATGTAAGTTGACATAATAAAAATGAAATTCTAAAGGTCAAGTGTAATTATATGTGTAATATTTTGACCTTGGATACAACGCTAATAATATGGATGAATTCAAAATGTAGCAATGTGGGAAGAAAACCACTTTTACAAATTACTGGGAAAAACAAAAGTTCTTCATATAGAATAATAAATTCTTAGGGCTAACAGATCTTGGAAGTTCTTAGAGAATAATTTCAGTATATTTGCATTAAAACTAAACATTTTAGCTTGCTTACCTCCCGTCAAATCTAGAGTGACTGCATATTCTGCACACTTGTCTACTTTCTTGGATCCCCCATCCTTGTCATAAACAAACCTTTTAAAATGAAGTACTAAAACTAAAGGAAGTTCTTCCAGGGTGATTCTACGAGATGCTTCAACCTGAAGGAAGAGGTAAAATAAATTACTCTGTGTTTACAAACATTCACAGTGCTGAAGAATTTCTCAAAGATTAAGAATTAACAGTATTGTATTAGTCATAGCAGATTCCCAAATATTTCTACTATTAACCATGAAATTGTCCTTCCCGAGTGGTTTTCTAATCAAACTGGTACTTGCACCTTGGTTTGCTTTTAGCACCCAGTCTGCAAGTCGGGGAAATATTTTTGGTGGATTGCTGCCTAACAAAGCTTTCCAGTACCCTCTTCTTTTAAAATTCTGAATAGCAATTTGAGCTACTTGCAATATCTGTAATTTGAATTGCCTCACAGCATGGCTAAATTCATATTAATGAAACCCATGTTTTACAACACAAAATTTGGTTCCTCAGTTTTCTCCACATGTTTTGTGAGTTCTCTCAATAGAAATGGCCAAGAATGGTATACACCATTACTGTGTTCAAATGCAGAATTGTGGCACGTACCATGATCATTACTTTTGTTATGGTTTCTGCTCAGAATACCGGAAACCACGACTTTCTTCTATCCCATCCAATCCCTTAAATTCAGTATCATTGACTATCAGATTGAGTGTTAGTGATTGACTACACTTTTTTTTTTTATCTTAAAAGTTTGCAACAGTTCTAAATTTAAAATTTCATGAATTATTTCCTAAATTAAAAATGGAAGTGAATTTACTAATAAATATATCTTTTAAAATATTAGGATGTATTCTGAATAATTCATGTTTTTATGAAGTCATCATCAATTCACAATATTTATTGTGCAAGAAACTTCATGTGCTGATGATAAACTCATTATTATACAATGATACTAATTGTATACATATTCATATTTTATAAAGTTAAGATTGGTCGTTCCATACCTGATAAAAAAAAAGAAGAAATATTTCAAAATCTCACCTCCTGTTTGGTTTTAGTGCATGTATATCCCTGAATGGATTCTTTACTAGTGAGATGTTCTAAAGCTGCAAGCACAGATTCAACCTGTTCTGACTATAAAAAAATTTCATTACTGATATATGACTATTAGTTTCAATCTTGTTCGTATAGGAAATGAACTTTATCTCACCAAAAATAATACCATTTACACACATTCTCTACACTAGATTAAAGATGGTGTGAACACTGTACAATAATAGACTCAGAAGAGTGGTAATAATTGTGGTTAACCCTGAAAAATACTTCGTAAAAGCATTATCAATTAAATCAGTTAAAACAATATAATTTGAAGAGATCCATTCCAATTTAAAAAACCTTCTAATTTTTTAGCAGATTTTATATACTATATGAGCACTTAATAAAAAGTTATTTCGCAAACAGTAAAATTATATGTGAAAAATAATCACAACCAAAACAAAAACATTACAATATTTCTTGAGTTTTAATATTTCTAAGTGTTCTGTTCTTTAAAAATATAAATTATAAATATTAAATTAGTACAGAACTGTTTTGAAACCATTAACAGAAAATTATGAATTATTTTTTTATCACTATAAAAACAGACCTGTATATCAAGCTGTAGTGTAAAAAATGGTTGTAGAAAAGCTGACGTTTCATTTCCTGCCATCAGAACTGACCGCATCTGTCCACCAAAAATGTCAGAAATTGGAGAACGAGAAAAGCTTGCCTAAGAAAGAATGAATGAGAGGGAGGATGCTTTCAAATTACAAATGCATAAAAAGAAAACATTACTATTTATACATTTCAAGATAAGGTTACCACACTCGTATACAGTTTCTTTTATATAAGAAACAACATTAAAATATTTTTGTTGAATTTTAGTTGAGAATCACAAAAATCTACTTTGTTAAATGCAAAATTAACCCTATATAATACTCTACAGAAGGACTCAATTAAGATTTATGATTTCTATTATTAATAACACCTTTATAGATTTCTCACTTCCAAAAATATTTGCAACCATAATGAGGGATCCTAGAATTCAACATGTGATTGGCCATGTATAAGTTGAATTGTGAAAGCCATTTTCTAGTGAAACGAGATAGTGTAATCAATCCTTGTTTCATTCTATTGCTAACCACGTATTTGTGATTATAGTATTAGATCTAGTTTAAGTTTAATCCAGTTGTATTTCACTTGTCTCTAGCTTCATTTAGTTCATTTTTCTCTTATTAATTTTAAATATAATATTTGCAAATTCAATTTTTTATTCTAAGCCAAGTTTTTTTATCTGAATAACTCATCAGGTAATTTAAGCTGGCAATTCATCATTATATTGTTCTCATTTGTACTTGTTAATAAAATATACTTTTATTTCTATTTCACCATCAGGTTTTGTCTATAATTTAACTGGTAATGAATAGTTTTTTTCCTCTGCAGACAGTCCTTGAATCTCATTATTATACAGGTCAGGTAACTGTGAAACACAAAAATCCACAACTACTCAACGATGTAAGACCATCACACCTTTTTCTTCTCAGTAATAATGCTGATGGGAAAGAATAGTTTTAACTTTTGCCTACTGTCAAAAAGTGACATTTGGCTGTTTAAGACATAACATTAAAAGACATTACCTTTTATTCAAATGACTTTTAACATTGACATGACAAGGTTTATGATAAATTAGTAACCAAACGAGTATAACAAAATGGCTATTTTCTCCAAAAAATAAAATAAAATCGCCATTACATGATTGGCAAGGAAACCATACACAACTATACATTTCTAAAAACAAAAATTTTTGTTTCTTTTATGGAAAAAAAAGTTCTAGTTTTCCTGAATGAAAATTTCTCTGTATGTGTGTTCATAAATAACACTGCATATGATTTAAATTTTTATAACAAAAACATAATTTACTGTTAACATTATTTTCTCCTTTACCTAACTTAATTTATTTAAAAAAAGATAAGCATTAAGGAAATTATATACATACTAATTATACTAAACCTATTCACAATTTCACATAATAATGGGGCCCGGCATGGCCAGGTGGTTAGGGCGCTCGACTCACAATCTGCGGGTCGCGGGTTCGAATCCCCGTCACACCAAACATGCTCGCCCTTTCAGTCGTGGGGGTGTTATAATGTGATGGTCAATCCCACTATTCGTTAGTAAAAGAGTAGCCCAAGAGTTGGCGGTGGGTGGTGATGACTAGCTGCCTTCCCTCTAGTCTTACACTGCTAAATTAGAGATGGCTAGCGCAGATAGCCCTCGTGTAGCTTTGCGCGAAAATGCAAAACAAACAAACACAATAATGTGAATATTGATTACATATTAAGTATGGAAACACTGAAATGAACAAGCTAAATGCTTCATGTACTTATGCATCTGCTTATACACTTACAGTTCTGGTGACTATACTTTTATTTTTCGGTCCCATCACCTGCCATCCTTCATCTCCACTGTCATCTAGATGTCCATTTGCAGCTGCTTCTCCATTACCAGCTGGAAAACAGGACACATACAAGTTCAAACTTTTCTGACATTAACACAGATGTATTTAATTAGTTCAAAAAGATCTTCACAGAAACTTTGAAATTCTACAATATAAAATAACTCTATTAATAATTAAGAAATTGGTTTATTATAATTAAACAACACATTTTAGTAAAATAGCAGGAAAAATTTGAGGATTCTTATAAAATCCATGGAACAAAAAGGTTGAAAATGTGGAATAATTTCAGTGCAACAGAAATGACAAATGCTGTTGAGTTGAAAAATGTTGACGGGTATTACTGAATATTTATTTATATATGTACGTATATATAACTTCCTACATTGGTTTAAAGTTTTCATAATAGAGGCTCCTATTAATTTTCCTTCCAAGGAGTAATGATAACATTCTTCTTTAATAGCCAAGAGGTTCTACGGTTGTTACCTTCTTTTCCCACATCTTTTCTAATACTTTTCATTACCGCCAACATTTCTTCATGAAGACCATTTAAAATGCAACTTAAAAATTCTTCAGCATCTTCTTGACGACCCTATGAGTAAAAATTATCACTTAAAAGGCTAAAGAGAATACATATAGCACAAAATAAAAATTTATACATGATAATACAAAAACATTGAGAAAAAATATTTCTGTAATGATGGTGAAGACTTGAATTTGATACAAAATTACACAATCTGCAAAATAAGAATCTCCATGAAGATTTACTAAGTTATCTTTATCTTTATTATTTAAGGACAGTCTTAAGACATTATAGCACATCAACAAGGAATAAAGAATTGCTATTATCTTTAAATTATTATTACTACTACAAGAAACGATGCCCTATGGGCAGCTGTTTGTGCTAGTAATTACTAATTGTAGTATTCATACCTCATGGAGAAAAATTTAGAAAAACTGAACAATTTCTAAAAAATGATTTTTCTGAGAAGTACTGCATAGGAAAAGTGTTCAGATTGTGCCAATATAAACTGTAGTCTTTTTATATATTAAAATTGGTACCCTTTATTGAAAAATAAGTATTTCTGAAGAACTCAATCTTTTTTTAGTAAGTGCTATATTTACAAATTACATCAATAAAGATACAATCAAACCTTCACGTACATTCCTAATGAAAGTTGTGAGGAGAGTACTTTTATTTAAAGTTGTGCTCTTTGATAAAGAAATGGTTGTTGCACAAACTGTAGTTATTTTTTTCTAAGTGTCTGAATCTTGAATACCCAAAGCGTGAATATTTTTTTTTTGTTGTTGTTTGTTTGTGGTGCTATTCAATAGAAGATGCTACATTGTATTTATCATTTTGGTCACATACACACATATATATACACACACACACACTATGTCCATTATGGTAAGAAGTACATCAAGCAACTCCATATTTTCCCAAGCAGTTATAATCATATATTTATATTGAAATTAACAGCTAAAAGTTTTCACTTGTGAACAGTTTAATTTTCACAACAGACAACTCTGTGAAGCAGTAAAAAAGGGAATGTGATAGTAGACATACTAATGTAAATCATTATACTACTTTAAATTAACAAACATATCTTCAAAGCATGCATACAGGTTTAGAAAACTTTTTCAATATTACAAAGAAATAATAAAAGTTTAAATTTTCAGATCAAGAATATTAACAGAAATGATAAAACAAAAATAATTGTAAAATAATTGAAATTTTCTTATATCTCATACAATCCAATTGAGCTGTGAGATGCACGTACCTTGACACATTCAGACTTAATAACACTTAACATTTTGTAAATATTTCCAGGCTCAAAAGAAGCTCCAATAGCTAGATCTTCTTTTCTCTTGTTCTTGCTAGCTTGTGGTAGGGTTGGGAACTCTTGTATAAATTCCACCCTGAATGAAATTAGAGCAAACAATTTTCAATGTTTCTAAAATGAGTTTAACAATAAACAAGGTTTCTTATTTAAATTAAGGTACATAAGCCCTATATATACACACACAAACACATGTAGAGGTATAAATCTCACTTCTGCATGTGCATACTGTTCCTAAAGAAGGCTACAGTAATTTGATCTTTGTTTGTCACTCAGGAAGAATATTAGATATTGTTGATTGAATGAGGATTTGGTTAGATATATTACTTACATATCATTCAAAAACTTTTCAGTTTCTATAAAATATATCATAAAACATTTAAGCTTGTAACTGAGAGAGAATTACAATGAACAAGGATTTTCAAACTGAAATTATTAAGAATACGGTGTTAAAAAATACTAGTTTCTTATTGTACTTAACTGGTCTACTTATTCTACAACTGAGATATGTCATTCAGGTTTAGTATCAATCAGAATCCAAGTTAAAAAGATATGTTACAATACTTACAAGCTGTCCAAGATGGGAGTTGATGACTTGTTACGATTCTGCCCTAGGAGACTAGTAAACTGTTTCAGTAAGTTATACAAAGGAGGACACACTAGTAGTGCTTGTAGTGTCTGAAGGAAGTCTTGTTAAAAGTCAATACATTCTATTATCTTTAGATCTAAATAAGCAAACTTTTAAATCAAGGTAGTAGTTTTCTTTTTAAGAAAACACCCTATTATATATAGTGTTAAATAATATTTGAAAGCTGGGACAACTTCTTCAAACAGATCTCAGGGAAAATTTAAGTTGTGAACAAATTTAAAACATCAATGACTTTTAAGTTAAAAAACAACAACTTATTTATTAAAAGACTAAAGAACTAACATGCTAAACTAACAAAGTCTTTAATGACGTATCCCATTCTTAAAATCGAGATTTCATTATTTAACACATACACAGGGTTATTCAAAAGTCATACACAAAGTCAGAGAGTGGTGAACTGTAGTAACAAATGCTCTGTGATGTTCAATGACTAAAGTATAGTACCAAATATAGTTCAAAGATTAATTTAAGAATTTTGGTTGGACATTGGGAATAAAAACCTTAAACCAATCCAAGAATTTGTAATGTTACTTTTAAAGTCATTTTTCAATTTTTTTTTGGAAAATATAAATGCACAAGATAATTCAGAAAACATTTAATCAGTGAAATTAAAAAAATGTGGTTAATTAAATTGAAATTTTTTTACCAGCTTGAAGATTGTTTACAGACCTAATTGCCATAATTAAGTTTATTGAAATTCTAAAGAATGTAATCATGATAATCTGACATACACACCATTACGTTAGTTAGTGTAACAATTGTATGTATGTTTACATGCACATAACACAAATATTCTTATTTTTTTGTGGAGGGGGGAACTGTCCTCAAACATGTTTAGTTTTTAAGACATCAGAGACACTTTTACATTACTCAGTTCTGGTTCACAAGACAAAGTAGGAAATACCTGTGTTGTCATAGTAGTTTTGAGCTTTACTATAAAGCTGAATAAAACCTTAAAACCAATTGAAATGTTTAAAATTATTCACTGTTTTATCCAATTTTAAAAGCAGTTCTTAAGATAAGGAAACATGGAACTTAACACTTTATTATACTAGTTGGAATAAAGGTAATTAGATGTTTCTTTTAAACTGACACTTGAAAGAAGTTAAAATTCTGGATCTTGGAAACAATATAGTTGTAAATGTTGCTACATTTTTTAGTAATGATATACACAGTAAAGGATACTGCATTAATATAGCACCAATTACTCCGATTAATAAGCCCACGAGGTTGTAGAAAAGGAGCAATGTGGTTCAGTCGTGTATTTTCAAAAATGTCTGAAAAAACAGCAAAACATAACTAAATCAAATACTAAATAATTAGTTTTCTATCTTGATATTCTGATATTTTGATTTTGTTGATTAAGCAAAATTTCAATTTATCTAGTTAACCTACAAAGACCATACTTTTTTTCAAAATGATTTGTAGGTCAATATTTTTACAACTGAAATATGTATTTCTGATAGATACCTCCACACACAGAATAGCCATCTTTATCATGTTTCTGCCTAAGAGATTTGCATGCTACTAGCCTTGAGGCAACTATCACCTAATTTCATGTTTTTTAATGTGAACTGTGTTAGTACATGATGATATCATTATGTGACAAAAGCCTTCTATCAATAGGAGGGTTACACAACCTACATGAGCAGTAACTCCCCCTATACACTTGCACTTGTGATAACTTCATCCTTTGATGCGGCAAGACAAAAAAGAAAAATGTGTACTAGATTGGGAAGAATGGGTGGGAAATGTGAGTGGAGGTATGTATTGGAAATGTAAATTTTTGAGATAATTGAACTATACACACAGACCAGCTAGAATCCCATCAAGTATTAGCAGAAGGGCCAGTGCAAAATTTTTACCTAGATGAGCTCCCTTCAGAAAGTGCCCAAAGGGAAGCCCATGGAGTATGACCTGATGGCAGGGGATCTATACAGGCACATCTGTGGGAGACTGCATCTTATTTCAACCAGGATACACACTTCACCCAGAAAGTATGTAGAAAGAGACAAATAAGCCTCATGTATTGCAGGAACAAGTGGAATGAGAAGAGGACAATCTGAGTGCTTGCACACAAGTCAAGGTGGTATTGGACTCCCGTGCTCCACTTGAGACAATTGAGTAAACATATATATTATGAGGATATCTCAAATGGTCTTGAGGAACATCCCATCTCACTGTGGGCAGTGGTTAAGTCAGGGTAGATGGTATGAGCACTTTCTGTTATCCAAGCTCAATGTGAATTTGGGGTAAGTATGCCCTAGGAGGCAATACCAGGTACCTGACTTCATATAAAAATTAAAAAGGGGCTCTGAAAAAGAAATTGTACACATTCTTCTCAAAGATGGTGAGGTGACTGAAGAATGGCAACCAATATAAGCCAAAATCCAGCAGGAGATTAGACAACCAGATAGTGTAGAAAATGAGAGACGAACAGGTGGAGAGTCGTCCAAATGGAGGACCTCATCCCAAGGCTGGTGAAGATGAGAAGCAAAAGAATAAGAAAGGTGATACAAGAAATGTGAAATAGCCTGCAAACATCTAGATACAGAGACAAATATACCAACCAGAGGAGTTGATGGATCCATCTAGTAAAGATCCATTGGATGGAAAAAGATGAGTTCCAGGATAGGGACAGACAATGGCAGAGACTCCAACAGAAAGAGGTCTGTGATAAGCAGCATTAACAAGACACAGGAGCCAATCTGGGTCTAAATGATCAAACAGGAAGGGAGATGGGAGGGAAAGTATGGTTACCCTCCCAAGCGGTAGAAGTCTTAGAAAGGAAAGATCAGTCCAGGGAGAGGAGTATGTAAGTGCAGTGGATGAGGGTGTGAGAAGCATCCACAAAAAAGATATTGAATAATGGTAATTGAAGATGATAAGGAGAAGGATGTAAGCCTTGAGAGGAAGATGATATAAAAAACAATAAACTCAAAAGGGGCATGCATGAGAGCATGCAAAACTATATTAAGGTCTCAGTCAGCCTTGAAGGTGGGTGGGTCTGTATGCTAAGGGGAAACTAAGTCTGAACTCACCAAAGAGGTTCCAACAATATAATCTACAAGGAGTATTGTACATCAAGGGCTAATATTCCTTTTCCTGAACAATTGACTTCTATTAGCCCATTCTTGGATGGTATCCTCTTCTTACACCTCCCCTCTTTTATGGGAGACTGCTTACTTGTGTGTGTATGGGAGATTGTGGCAGATTGCCTCTCTCAGTCAGTCTGCATTCTACCAAAGGAGTGGTCTCTACACCCTTAGATCTTTCATTGGGTTTTGGTCTGAGTTGGGCATGCCTCTCATAAATGCCTTTACCACACTTCTCAACTCTAGGATTCCTCTATTCTAGTTCTCTGTTCCTCATCCTTCAATTCACTATCAATGCTCTCAGTTAGGCCTGGTCTCATCTCTTTCTATATGCCTACCCCCATATTGTCTCCTCCATCAGGTCCTCACCTGAGACATGAATATGGTGAGCAATGTCCCTCATGATACCAATGAATACAAAAGGGGCTGACACTATGTCAAAGGGAAAAGCAAGGAATGAGATAATGTGAAACTGATGGCCGAAATGTAGAGAACATATGCAGGACATGCCAAGAGGGATGTGTAGGAAGGTGTTCAACATATCAATAATGGCAAACAGCAGACTGGGTGAAAAAGACAATAGAAAGGGTGAGAGCGAGGAGAGAAGGAAACTGGAAGAGAAGCAAAGAAAAGTGAGGAGAAAGACCAAGGTGGGAAAAATGACTAACAGTAGAAAATGAGACCAACAGCATGAGAAGAGAGAGACAGGTACTCACAGAGTTGGACACGATCTGATAAAGAGTTACTATGAAACACATTTTTTTAACACTAGCTATCTAACTTGATTCTTATATTTTACATTAGGACTAAATGATTAAAACATAAACTTCCAGTATATCACTCACAAGTAATTTCTAGCACTTAGTCCCATTCTATTCAGGGGTTATTTATCTACTTCAGAAAAAAAAAAATAAATAAAAAAAAATTTGCTGTTATACTAATATGACATTCATAGCTCAATGTTAATGGGTGTTCAATCTCCTGAGACAAGTAAAAATTTACTTCAGATAACTTACTTTATGACATGTACTTGTCCTTTCGGAAAAGTGTAAACTTATCAACCAAAAATTTGTTCTACTTAATAACATGTTGAGAACTGACCTACAAAGCAAAATTTACAAAAAATAAGCCCTTATTTGCTGTTATATTTCTTTGTTCATGCCATGATGTGTGTGCTTCTTGTAATGACCGAGCTTTCTACAAGTCAGTGCCAGGTTATAATCAATGTAGAAATGTGCATTTTCATTGGTTGGGGCACGTTGCACACCAACATTTTAACCAACTAGTATCCAAGTTCTTTGTAATCTTGTTAAAAGATTTCACAATATAGTGGCTCAATCAAAAATTCTAAGCTTTTGTTGCTTAAATATTGAAATAAAAATCATGAAATGGATGATTTAGAATATAAACGAAAACATTGAAACAAAAAAAGATTTACTGAACCTTGTAAAATGAAGCATGGTTAGTTTGAAAAGTTTCAATACAATAATGAAATAAATTAGTGTTTTGTTCTTATTACCCAAGGTATGACAATACATACTTGTAAAGAGAAGTGTTCTCATGTCAGTTTGAGCACATTTCATGTGTAAATGTTCATTAAATTATCACTTTGCTGTTGAAAAGCTAGTGTTGTACTAATTTACGAGTAAACAAACAACAGAACATCAAATTATTGAAAAACAAGCATTTTTCCACTAATAATGTTTAGGCAACTGAAACTAAGTTTTGGGCAAGTTAAATTAACCATACTGCTAAGCAACTTCTAATGTTAATATCAAGATCTGATACTGTATAAATAAACACAAGCATTATATATTCTACATTTGAACTTTTAATCAACTATTTATACCCGATACATTTCTTTTCATAATTTGCATTTTACCTTAAAATATTTAGTGAAGGATTTATGATGCTTGACTGAACAACAAAACAATTCAATTTCAGTTAAGTCATTTTTTTTTAAAACTACAAATGAACTTTCTGTTCTTTAGTGGTTTTATCTTTACTTGTACTTATTATTCTAAATGTATGTTTACATTGTAATTAGAACTGAATGAGTAGTAGAATTTGCTAATTGTTTAATCAGATGTTTATTTTTACATTTGTATTATAACTATTTGTTATTGTCCCAGGCTGACAGATCCATTTTTCACAGTCTGATAGATGAAAATGCAATTTCATTTGTGGGAAAATAAATAAGAAGTAAAACATTTTAGAGACAACTGATTGGTAAACGATACAGGCTTAATCATGATGTACCTAAAACTGTTGAGTAATTCTATTCTCCAGGCAAGATTAATTTAAACAAAATGTAATTGCATTGTGATAACTTAATTACTATTTTTATTTATTACTAACCATTACTACTTTAAAAGGACTGTAAGATCACTAAGGGGTTAATAAGAACTAGCTCTCTTTTTTACTTTTAACCTGAAGCAATAATTAATTTTAATAAGTTAGGTTTCTATTGTTATGAAATATGCTTATTTAAATAAACATTTCTAAAACATTATACTTAAATATGAGCCAAAAATAATGTTTTCATAGAAACTGTTTGTAAAATAACCATAAATGTTTCATAACAATCTATATAAAGCAGTTTATATCAAATAAAGACAAAATATCTCATGTTTAGAATACAGACAGTCTGATGCATAAATTTAAAAACAAATGTACACTTACTTGCTAATTTTATAGCTAACACATCTTCTTCAGCCTTTATAATTTGATATTCTTCAGTGTCTTCTAATCTTCCATTTTCCTCGCTTTCTTTGAATTCAGCAGTAGAAACAGGAGGAAGAGATAGACTTTGACATTCTTGAGAAGTAATCTGACCAGCTCTTTGGTCTTTAAATAAGTCAGCACCTGAACGTCGATGCCAGACATTAGTATTACGTGTATTTTCTGCATCATTGTTAATCATAACTGAAGTAACTGATGTTGATACATCCACATTTGAGCAGTCCTCTTTTACAATTGGTATTTTAGATTGTGATTCTGTTATTGTACAGTCTGAATAAACATCACTAAATTTATTACTCCTCACTAAAGACTTAGTATCACAAGAAAAAGTATCCTCTGTATGAAAAGAAGATAAAGGTTCATTAGCAGACATTTGCTGTGAAAGAGCTGGTTGAGTATCAGTCATGTTAATAGTTGATGAATTCACTATTATCCTTGAAGCTGATATACCTCCATGAGACTCATTTTCATTATCAGATGACACATCTAGCTTGTTTTTACCATCATTTTTGAAGCTATCTTCGTTTTTTATGAAAGACTTGGATGTTTGTACAATATGATTATTCTGTAGGTTACCATGCTGTATGATTTGATAGATATCAACCTGTGGCTTTTGTAGATTACAATCATCACAGGTTTGGCTATGTTGACCATGAGTAGCACAAGTTTCTATAGGTGTTGATTCACTGCAAGTCAGAGTAACTGAAGGAATTTCTGCAACAACAGATGTGACAGCTGAATTTGTTATAATAACACCACCATCATTCTCACTGGAGTGTTCCTTTTCCTTCTCAAGATGTTCACTTCTAACAGCAAGAGGTGCTTGTGGGTGAATAAACCCAGGATAAGCAGATGTTATAAATGGAACTGCATATAACAGAGGTGCTGAAGGCCCTTGAGGTTGATAATGAACCGGAGCTATACCTGGTGGATATCCTGTGGCAGCTGCTGCCACAGGTATGGTGCCAGTAGTGACAGGAAAACTATTGGGGGGCATGGTAAAAGGCACTGGAACCACAGATGGCATTCCTGTAGGCATAGGCTCTTCCACAACTGTTCTATGTTGATCTGCTTGTTGTGCATCCGAATCATTAACAGAGTTATCAGAAGAGCCACTATTTTTATCACTCTGTGACATTTGTTTGTTAGCAGAAACAAGCCCTTTCTTCTGTGTAATTAAGGTCTTATCAGAACTAACATGCATGACTGGAATATATTCTCTATGAGAAGTATGAATGGGAAAAGCAGGAGGAAGTGAACTCTGTTGAACTGCCGTCAATTCTTGCTGAGGAACACTGCGAGTAAAAATGGAGTTCATATGTTGTGGAAAATGAGGATGAAGAAGAGGATAAGAACGAGGTATGAAAGGAAAAGCTTGACTTCCGGCTAGATGAGGTACAGCAGAGGCTACACTAGGAGAAATGAAAGGTGGAGGAACAACTGATGGATTAGCCAGGGAACCAGATGGTGGACGAAGAGCAGGAGTCATGGATGATATTCTTGCATCAACAATGTTGGAATCTTTTCTGATATTCTCAGGCTGTTCTGTAACATGTGTTAATAGAAGAGGATTCAGCAGATGTAAGGGACCAGAACAAAATCTTTATTTTATATAAAACTAGAATATAGATTTTCTATGGTAGTGAACAAGAAAATATGATACCCTATAACCTGAGCACTTTTGAAAGGTGTACCTTTCTTCTTCAGGGGGAAAACTGGGAATCTATTAGGTTAAGTTTCTTTTATACTACTCCTTGTGCATTTGAGACTACTGGTGCTTAAGACTTTTTTTTTTCCCCCTGTAATATCAAAATTAATCAGATTGATTTGATTAAAACATTCCATATCTTGATTAAATAAATTGATCTGTTAAAGCATGACATCGTCACATTTAATCTTTTTAGAGTTTAAATACTCCTATTTACTTGGCCCAATATGAGATGCCAATAAGAACAGATCATATCATTTTGAACACATTTATTTCTGTTATATGGTAGTGCAGATTTTTACTCAGTATTATAGCTCATTGTATTTGGTAAACGTTTATACTGTAGGAAGGGTCACGCTTTAGCACCTTTAATTATTATAAACTATACAACTTAATGTCTCGTACATGACTGGTACAAATAAAATTCCAACTAAAAAATCTGTTCTGATGGTAAGTTTTAATCTACAAAAGTCAAAGTACAGTTGAAAATTTTCTTATTACCAGATCTTACCAAGCAAGCTTAGCTGAGAAGTTAATTATATCAGTCATGTATATAAAATAATAACAATAACACATATAACAGTGATTATCTCTGCTTGGTATCTTTTAACTTGTGATATTTGACATGAAAAAAATGTTTAAGCAGTAGTATCACCATAAAAAAAGTGTAGATGTCAAAAATTGTAATTGTTTTTTACAGCTTATGGCTTTATTCATGTAATAGTGGAAAACAAAGGGAAAAAATATACAACCACATATTTTATCTTGCACAGTTGGGAAAAAGGGGTACAAACAGTTTTCGATGGTGGTCTTTGAGGATTCCTAATTTCATCATTACATCTTATCACATCTGTCATATATATTGTTTATCCAAATATATATTTAATATCCATTTTCATTGCTAACCCACTTTAGCCAGGATACTACATTTAACCATACAAAGAGAAAATGTGCTTTTGCAATGGAACATTACAGAAAGTAACACGTGGATTACACTGGTAAGTTGATTATACACACACAAACACACACCTAAAACCATTATACTATTAATTTAGAGGCCAGAATAAAAAATCCAGAATAAAAGAAACAAGTACCTACAGTACCAAATAATATGTGGAGTTGAAACACACGAAGATGATTTGTTAATAAAACAAAATGTAAAATTAAACACACATGAAACTAAATCAAATTGGAAATATCAAATAAAGAGAATAGTGAACCCAAAAAATATTACAAATGGTAAAAAAAAAATGAAACAAACTTGTTGTTTAGTTTCTTTTCATCTATATGTTTGTGTATGTGTTCACTGTCATATGTTAGTTTCATGCCTCTTTAATTTCACTTTAATTGACAAAGCCTATTTTTAAACTCCAAATACCATTTTGTACTATAGGTATTTTATTTTTTACACTTTAAACTTTTATAAAAAAATATTTTAGACAGTTTTCTCAAAAATTATACCTGTGGTCTGTGGTTCTCTTAAATTTGCATAAGTTGTATTTGGCATCCACGGTAACTGAAGAATAAACATATTACCAAGTTAGAATACTAAACTATTATTTAAATGTTATTTGAAAAGCACATAGAATCATAAAAATAAACTGATCACAGTTAAAAAACTCAACAGTCTTATTGCATTTAAATGATTTTTCAACAAATATATTTCATCTGACTGTTTATAAACTATCAACATGTTATATTTGTTTATTATAAGATTGTTAATACAGATAACACTAACTTGTGACATTTTAACTCTTTTATGACTATGTAAATAACATTTATAGAAATAGAAAACAACTAAAAACCCTACAAACATTCCTTTATTTATTATTTTATACCAATTATCACCCACAGATAGTCAAACCTTCACATAACTCTGAGCAATTATGAGCTCTCATAATTAACCTCTCACAATATTATCATATTTCATAATAAGAAAATAGATTACAGCTATGGGTAGCACACTTATACTTTGTGATAATAAATATAGCACTAAATCTCTTTCTAACTATGAATGTTAATAAATTAATATAAATTTTCAATGTCTTTAACATCCCAGTAAATTACAAGTGACAAAACAAGTGGCATTACTGCAAAATTGAATGAATGCTGGAAAAAAGGAATACTGAAGTCTTGCACCTCCATTTTACAGTAGACTCCAAGACTGTTACAACTCAAGAAAGAAACTCTGTTAAAGGAATTATGTGCATTATACCACACACATACATACATACTTATTGTTAGTTTATGATTATATATATACAATAATTATAATAAAATATTAGTTATTACCTCGACATACTGTATACCACCTGGAGGATTAAGCAGAGTATAAATTTCCTTTGCTTCTCTTTCAGATATGTTGGACAGGTCTAAAAATTCCAAGTCCTAAAACATAAAAATAACAAAACATTCTGAAAATACTACTACTACTACTTCATTATACTAATTCCAAATGGTAAAAGAAGAAGAAAAAAAAAGAAGACATATTTCTATGGTTTTGGACTTAACTAGTACCTACTTTGTAACATTACTTGGCCTAAGATAACCTTTTATTGGACACTAATTCCCACAGTATAGCACTTACTTGACACAAATGTTAGCACTGAAAGTAATATTATTATTAACAAAATGGGTATAAACTTAACTGATAAGCTGAACAAACTCTGAAAAGTCTTAAAACTTGTTTTCCTACTAGACACATTAATTAATTTCCAATACTATGACATTTTTGCAGGGTTCTACAAGGTGAATAATAAACAGAGGTAGCCCTACTTTACAAGGACATTCCTAATAAATATTATAAAATGTTTAGCATTTGAAATTATTGGTTAATCATATGCAATTAGAACTATGTACATGATTACTTGCAAGAGGGTTGGCCTTTTTCTTTGAGGGGAGATTTTTGTTCACTTGAAAGAGCAAGTCCTTTAGTTGCTGGAAGAATTTTGTAAAGGAGTAAACAAAACATCTTGGATTAGGTCACACGGATACTGCTTACACAGAAAGGAAAGTGCTCCTGCTCATGTTGGAATTGGGTTCTTTTACTTATGGTTATGCATTAATTGTTTATAGAAAGTAATGTTTTTGCTTTTAGCATTTTTAAGTATCACTCAATAACCTTGCATTTAAGTCTCTGTATATCTACACTAATTTCAATTTTCACATATATCTCTTACAAATGCTAACCTAGTTTATTCTCACAAGTAAAATACCTGGAATGCCACAGCATCAGTGCTGCTTACAGTAGTTGGCAGTAACTACTGAATTTAATATTACTGTCTACTAATCAAAAATTAATTTCTACTCATAAAAATACTTTTATCCTGGATGATAAATTTCATAAAAATGCTTAAGATTCCAAAAAAAAAAGAAAAAATTAAAAAGAAAATACTAGCAATTACATTTATAGATTTTGCCAATTTAGTAAAATACTGCCTTTAATGACAAATGAACATTTATTTGTTTAATAAATTCTTTGAACTTATGAGCAAAAGTAAAGAAAAATGAATAACTGCATCAACCACACTATACCCTGTACCAGGACTAATCAGGCTGGCTGCGACATGACAGAAACAGTAGTAGCTGAGATACTTAGTTATATTATCATATTGTATTAACAACTGTTATGGTGTTAACTAAATTAAGTTGGTGAAGTGTAATATTTATCAATATAATACAAGTCAGTAAAACATAAAATTTTTTCAGTTTTATAAACTTTATACAAAGAGTATTTCAAACAATACCCGTGTATATTTTGAATAACAGGTTTACTGTTATTGGATTTTTGTATCTGAAGTATTGTATTAGCAGTGCTTGTACTGCAATTATACATGTACATGATAAGTTTCTTTCCTCAGAGAAACAAGTGTGGGAATTTACATATTATTCATGATTTCTTTCATTGATAAAAAGTTTTAAACATGAATAGTAAAGTTTTCACATGAGCTAATATATATATATATATGTATATCATGTATCAGCTAAGAAATAAAACTTATTTGGTAAACTGAATACTGACATACTTAAATTAAATGCTCACCAAGTATCAGCTGAAAGTTGTCGAAAGATAAGAAAATGAGTAAAATGTGAGAGAATGATATGAAGAGATTTTCTAACAATGAAATACATTAACTTTCCAAGAACAAAACCAAATTAACAAGCATCAGCCATGTTAGTGCATGAAGTGAAAAAGCATAAAAGCCAACTAAAAGATTCTAATTTCACAAGTGTGACATTATTCCACTGCTGAATATGTATTGTGATGTGTCATGCTTCAGTGTTCTGAGCATGACAGTCAGGATTTTTATATTTTAGTTTCCTTATTATCATAGTTTTGTTAAATTTAATGCTTCTTATGTTCCTATACCATCACTTGATTTGTATCTTCCATATCACCATACCGAATTTAAAAATTCTGTTTGCATAAACTTATGAGGACATAATTAACTCATAATAATTAACAATAGAGATAATAAAATACAAGAAGTGGTGACTGAAGTTATTTCTTAAAAATTTTATTATTACTTAGTCATTTGATTGAGATCTTGTAATATAAAATTTATGTGCAAGATTATGGGTCAGTTTCTGTTAAAAGAGGATAAGTTCAGCACCCAATGCAGAAAAGAAATCTAAGTGTCCTTTTTCAGCAACAAATCATACTTTTTCTCACAAAACAAGATTGAAGTAAAAACTTTTAGATCAATGTACATAAAACCAATATTTATGATAATATTAATTATAAATCATATCATTGATTCTTACAAGCTGTGCATTTTTTTACTTCAGATCAATTGACAAAGATGTATTTAAGCTAATACAAGGAATATATACAAGAAGCAACTTCATTCAACATCCAACAAGTGGTCCATTTGTATTTAGCTGAACTTGAATTTTCTTTCACAATGTAGTAAGAATCACTATAAAAGTTTCACTTTTCATGTTACTATCATTTGTAAGCATATTGATATTATTTTATCAATTTTTCTTAAGTTTTCTTGACACTTAAATTTATGTATCCACCAAACAAAAAAAAAAACTGTTTCACCACCAATAACACACATTGAAGTTGCACACAAGCAACATTTTTCATAACACATAATTTCAAAATTTTAAATTTCTCAATACAAGTATTTCAAGTGCATGGTGCTACAATGTTCACTTGTCACAGTTCATTTGATACAAGAGAATTTGTTCAACATCACAAGATTTCACAGACAGAATTCATAAACTCAGTCATATTTTCTATAGGCAAAGTTTCTCATCATATTTTGACCACACTACTGCCTTTTTAAAATAATCATGACAATACCTTAATTTTTCAATTTTTGTTTTTAAATTTAATAAGAAATCAAACCATTTTTGTATCTCAGGGGACTATTAAGATCACCTTTTGCTAGCTCTACTAAGTCATATGCCATGTCATTATATAGTACAGCATGGCCTCATTAGTTCTGTTAAATCAACGTATGGTTATGCTATTAGTATTACATATACTGTTATTGACATTTCACTATATAATAATTTAATTTATCAATGAAATCATTAAATTTAAATATATGTTAGACTTCTAGATTAATTCTTAACATTTGTCTATTACTTTGGATTGTCTCTTCTTAATTTGAATTTTGGTGTAAGTTTGTTGAGTTTTGTACAAAGTTACTCGAGGGCTATCTGTGCTAGCTGCCCCTAATTTTGAAGTGATAGACTAGAAAGAAGGTAACTAGTCAATACCATCTACTGCCAACCATTGGGTTATTCTTTACCAATAAATTGTGGGATTGACCATCATATCATAGTGCTCCCACGTCTGAAAGGTTGAGCATGTTTGGCAATAGGTTTCAATCTGACAACCCATAGATTGCACCCTTATCACTAAGCCATGCCAACTCTATGAAGGTAGGAAGTGTTGTCTTTGTATCTTCTGTCTATTGCATTACTTTAGTTAATTTTCTTATGGGAGTGATACTTGTAATTTATTGAACTATTTGTTTTAACTACAGACACATACATTTTTCTTTATTATTACATATTCCTGATATTGACCCTACAGCTAAACAGTGGTATGTTGGAAGCCATTATAATTTAAAATCAAACTAAAGTTATATGTGTACTAATGCTAATGGCTTTTTTTTTCTGTTTGTAATTAACAAATTACACCATTTTTCTTTGTAGCTCCTTTCATTAAATCATTGGTCATGATGACTGAAATAACTCTTACTGTATATATTTATTTTTACAATTATTAATATTATTTTGCCTTGTTAGTTTAGTGTGACTAGATAAATGAAACATATGATAATGTTACATTTACAACCACAAAGTAACAATCTAATTTCAGAATGTAGTTTCCATGACAATATTTATATTGTGAAGGGGCAAGGAAATTGGCTAGTAAAACACTTCGAACCATGGGAATGGCACTTATCTGAAAAGCCAGCTAAGCCAAACACTGTCCAGCTTTGCATTATTGTTTAAAGTACAGTAATACTTAATAGTGTGGATCGACAAGGATTCCAACTAATTCAAGTGCCAGAAAACCACCCTATCAAATTTCTAAGTGAAAAACTAATAATACGCTAAGAAGGTCACTAATATTTCTGGTATTGCAATTCAAAAATTTCTAAAAACAGCAACTTTTTTCGTCTACTACCTACTTACCTGAACACGTCGACAGAACAAGTGCCTAGACGGCTCAAACTATCGCTACAAGATTTCCCCAGCTTACTTGACTGGTCTATGGGTATCTGCTTTCGATATTATGATAAAAATCCACACGTGTGTATATATATATATATAGGTATAATATAAATGGTAAACATGCCATGCACATACTTAAATATCTTTTCAACCCAACGAATGGGGCTACATATCAACGGATAGACACATGACACTTTCTAAAAGTAAAAAATATACATTATACAGGTATAACGTAAAAAGTAAACAAATATGAGTATTGAAAAATTATGAATCCTAAAATGATGTAGGGATCCTGCTACAAAAAAGTAATGAACAAGAATTAAAACAACAATCACAAATTTATTTCTTACTTTGGCAGCTTTATACACTTTATCTGCAGGCCAAAGTAAGGATTAAATTTTATAAATTTGTGATTGTGGTTTTAATTCTTGTAAACATTATAGCTATCAGAGGGATATAGCTATAATGAAAGTTTAAAAATGTTGCATCCATTCCATGGACATATAAAAACTGAACAAATAAATAGGACAAAAAAGAAAATTTTAATGGAAAAGTAGGGATCATTGGTTATTCATAGAATTGGTATTAAAAGCATCCAAAAATAAATGCTACAATAAAAAGTACAGAAACAAGTAAATTGATACTAGTTGGATAGATTTTATAACGATTTTCAATCCCTAACTTGGTTGGCATTGTGATCTGTATAACTAAATGAAGCTGTCTTTTTTTATACTCACACCAATCAGAAATAGTAATTAAATAGTAGCCATCATCTGCCATGCAAAACCGCTTTGACTAAAGCCTCATTTCATTTATGACTGTGATTACCTCTGCTTGAAATGTCAATAGGTTTAATACACCACCACTTTCTGTGAACATTTTAAGGTTCACCAATTTTTACCCAGTTCTCTCTACTCAGAATGGCAATTACTGAACAAAATATACAGAAAAACTAAACACAAATGTCAAGATTTTCAACATGGGTGTGGTTAGAATTATTTACCACAACTTTTTCAAAATTAAAGATTTCCAAGCCTAGATTTATAATTATGCATTTTCCATGACTAAGCACCCTTGCATACAGAACTATCAAACTAGCAGATACAACCACAAAAATTAGTTAAATACATGTACTTTAACCTACCTGAGGCTCCATGTTTTTATTCCACACATTCACAGATGCTCAGATGACTTGTAATCTACTGCTAAGCTCTGTAAGAAATATAATAAGAACTTTGCTCAAGCTAAGCGTCATGCCAAGAGAATCTAAACAATACCCAAATTTAAGTGAAGCACACCTAAAACTTTTGGTAATAACTTATAACTAAAGGGTTCTAGTGATGGCAGTATTATCCAATTTTATTTTTTGCTATCTCATTTAAATTTGGCATCTTAAAATATTTGCACCTGAATGTCTTAAATAATATTATATCTCATAAATAATTCAACTAGTGAAGAATCTGGGGATCAAGGTTGAAAACACTATGATTTTAAAAACTTGAACTTAATATATAACTTCAACTTAGATTATTTTTTCTGGTGTCCACTCATGTTTTAATTTCAATTTGCTACTGAGTTAAATTCAATCCGATCTTTTTATCACATAATCTTGAAAAACCTGATAAATAAAAGGTTATCTATGCAAAGAGAGGCATTTACAGTACTATCTCTAAGGTTTTTGCCAATTTATTTCAATTAGATGCACACATTAACAGATTTATGAGACATAAAACTGGTTAATTGGAATCAGCCTAAATCATATAATTAGCCAATTATTAACAGAAGAAACGGACACATTTTAAATGCTCCCAAAAAAATCTGAAAAAGGTCTGACAGACCAAAAATATTTTGAATATTATCTTAGTTTCTGGTTATTGCTTTTGCATTATCTCCCACAACTTCCTGGAAGACTTTTCTTTAACTTATAAACATTTAATTCTAATCACACTGCAGTCCCTTTGGACCATTCTAGATCTTTCTGACATACAATTTACTCATCACTCATGCTTAATTAACATCTGACAATCATGCTATGGGCAGACTTATAGCAAAATGTATAAAAAAATCCTTTCCAAACAAAAATATTTATAATGCAAGGTTACTATGCATTATACAGCCAAAGGACATTACATTTCAATAAAGGAATCTTCCAGGTTCTCTACAGAATCTGAAAAAATTTACACAGCGAAGGGTTTAGGGCAGCAACAAGCTCTGAAACCACACTTCAGCTCTGGAGTATGTACTCATTAGTAAAGTGAAGACTACGATAACAAGAGATCCCTATGAGCCAAATGGCCATTATCATTTACTGTATACTATTTATATATCGTACTAACAAAGGCTTAAATCCATCATATGAAATAATTTAGTATAATTGATTAATTCAAATTAAATAAATAAAAATATAGTTACAGATAATATCACTGATGAGACGTTACAGAGACTAAAGATACCTTTCTATATACGATATATATGATGCACTTAGCTTTTCAAAGTTCCTGTGGAAAACATGATCAATTGTTTATTTTTACACATGTAGCACTCAGTTGTTAAAGTTTTAATTTGGTTCAATATAAATATTTAGGCAGGAATGAATTTGTTTGTAGCACTAACACTTAATCTATAAATAACCCACTTTCTGATTAAATTTTTGTATGCAATAACCTCCTTTTTTTAAATAATGGTTTGAATAGTTTCTTTTCCTTGGGTAGGATATGTCATACATTAGATTTTATACTGCATATGTGAATCTTCTCTATATTATTATGCCTTTCTTGTAAGTACAACATAAACATCAAAAACCATAATGGGCATTTCAACTTTTATCTATCATGAAACAAATATTGGTACAAACAAAACAGTTACATTCCTTAACTTCCAAGAAGTTCTTAGTGACCTACTTGCTCCTGCCATATTTAATATAAGTGTTGAGAACCTTCTAAGCAAATTTAGTTCAACATCCAAATTTAGAATATGCAAAGGCAGCAACTCGAGCAACTTGCTGCCTGTGTAAAATGTATCTGATTGATGTCTTTAATTCAAAATTTTGTTCATTGTTTTGTTTTTAATTAAGCACAAAGCTACACAATGGGCTATCTGTGCTCTGCCCACCACGGGTATCGAAACCCGGATTTTAGCGTTGTAAGTCCGCAGACATACCGCTGTGCCACTGGGTAGCTTGTTCATTGAAGACGTCTTTTTCCCTTTTGTTTATGCTCCTCTTGACTTCTAGCTACACGCTTCTAAAACAATTGGCCTACACAATGAATACATCATTAACATCTACTATTCAAGGTAACGCATAGTTCAAGAATATAGGACATCAAGTACAAGACAAATCTGGTTTTGATGTAAGTTCAGTAACCTGGACAACACCAGAGCAAATGTTGTGGTCCATTCTGAAGATATTCTTCCATAAAAAGACTGCCTTAATACATAAGTGAGGTACAAGGCAAGCATCCTCACTAAGGTAAAAGATGAAAAACTTACTTAAAGTATTTGTAATAATTAAACATTTTTGATGAAATCACAAAATTACTCAGCTTTCAAGTTAAACCTTAGTTATCCATTTTTCCATGTTCCACCTGTATGAGTTTCAACTTGCAAGGAAAGTCAAAATCAAAACTTCTATTGTTTAATGCTAGCAAGATACAGTGAATTAGTCCTAACAATATTATTTGAAGAATGGGGAATATCAGTGTTTGAAAACAATGTAAAATTAAACTCATCTTTCCTATTTACTCTTCACTAGGTAGTTCTAAACTATTGCAAGTTTTTAAGCAATGTACTTAACTTCGATGATGAGGAACCCACTTTGAGACTAATAATGGTTGGAGACGGCTTGAATGGGTAATGAACAAAAACTTTAATACAAGTTTAACATAACAGCAAATGTACAACGTTTTGTCATCATCATCATGTACTTAACTGTCCTCTCTGCTACTATAACATGCAATAACCCAAAATACAACTTAATCATAATACACATGATTTGACAGAGTGCATGCCAGTTGTGGTTTTGAGTCACATTTGAATTAAAATTCATGTTTTATTAATTAAACTAATAAAGTGTAAAAGCTACTAGCCAGGGAAATATTAATCCTTTCAGTAAATTAGTACATTCATCAAAGATAAAAGCACTTTACACTTTTGGTCACTTTCAAACATCTGGATAGGCATGTCTACACTTTCAACACTACAGTAAGAACTTCTACAAGTTTGAAATTCACCTTGATTTGTTACAGCAATTCACTAACTTCAATTGTAATAAAATTTCAAGTCAGACAATGTCAGGTAATTGTATCATTAACTATTCTAAATACTTATGAATAGTTTTTTAAATATAAAATATGGTATTTTACATTTTGCTGTCATGCAAAAAAAGTTAGTTTCTATCCCTGTAAATAAAATTATTAATCTTGCACTCTTTAGAAACAGTACTGTCATTTTGAAAAAAAGTAAGTAATAAAAAGTTAATTAACAATACATTTCAAAACTGTATTGTTGATTATACATTAAAAAATTTAGAAAAGGTAATCTTGATTCATGTTCAAGCAACAAGTTTCATATTTCAATAATTACTTTTCATAAGATTTATTTTGTGTTGTATATTGAAGATTATACCTAGTCAGGAATGGGTTTACTAATTATTTGTTGTGATAAAATTTATATTATAGTTCTTTGAAAGATTTTGTATGGATTTTTCTTATATTTTAACAAATTATTTTTGTGTGACACTGGCTGTAGCAGCAGCTTATTTAGACCATTACATGAGTAAAAAATAGGAACGCTTTTATCCAGTGTTCACAATACACAATTCAGAATAAATCATCTGATAGAGATCAGTACAAACAATGACATCTAGCAAGCAATGATTGTAAAACATGATGACAAGTGAATAAACTCAGGCAAATAATTAAAACATGCTGAGAAATAATTTGCCCAAATTAACTCGGGCAAATGTTTTTTGAAACATGGAGGTCACCCAAGTTATCTTTGGCAAATCATTGAAGTGGTTAAGCAAAACTATTAAAAATAATTATATGAAAACCTAAATAAAAAAAATTTAACTATTTATTCCAAAATCTATTTTAGTTTAGGACAAAATCCATAGGACTTTTTTGTCAAAAAGCTGCATATCCATCAATGCAATGCCACTAGCAGCTCAATTTTGTCAGGAATGACACAGATGTATACCACGTTTTGCACCTTAGCTCTTCACATATATTCATTCATGTATTTCATGACTTTTAACATTTACTCATTATGGTTTTACAGTGTAGCATGTAAAATATTCTACACATGAACTAATAAGGAAACCATGATTTACATTAATGCAGCCTCAAACTAAAGATATACATATAACAGGTTAAGTAATTTTTATTACGTTAAATATCCTTCTTACAGCTAGCTGTCAAACTTTAGGGATCCCCTATTATAAACAAAAACATTGTAATATTGTTAAATTAATTTAAATAATTTTTATATGTGTGACTGAAGATTGGTGAATTGAAAGGTATGTATATTTATGTAAAGTGTTGGTCTAAGGTTCAGAGGTATGCATTTCCTTGTTTACTGCAGTTCAAAATTTTAAGAAATTTCCATGGATCCCTTGTAATCTATCCAGTGTTTTCCTATCAAAAGAATGAACAATGTGGAAAAAACTACTTTGGACCAATGGTAAAACCTTTTGTTTCTCAAACAAACCTGGAAGTCTGAATATGAATTCCACACCTATGTATAAGAATTTAAATTTCTCAATTAGCTGATAATAGTAAACTGATGGGTAAAATCAATTATTTGGAAAATGTTTCTTTAATGCAGAAGGAGTTGGATAATCTTGTTGAGTGGGTTAATTTGTGAAGTGAAAAGTGTGTTTTTGTCATCTTGTTTAAGGAAGAGTGTCATTGTCAAGTTGCTAGAGTTCATTGAAGAGCTACCATGATGATTTCAGATTTGGATTATCATAAGGGGTTAGGTTGGAACATGTTTCAACTAGAGATTAGAAGGGCTCAGGGCCACAATTAAGGTTTTTCAGATAGTTAACTGTTTGGAATCTATAAATCTAGGTGACATTTCAATGAACTGAAGACAGTAAGACTAGAAGACACACGTTTATGATACTAAAAATTCACACAAACAAAATTTCTATTAGTAAATGATTTTTTTAATAAAGTGTTTGAACTATGGACTTGTTTGTGGTAGAATCTACAACACTAAGGAGTTGAAGATAAGACTGAATGATAATTTTACAAATCAGGGCCAAAAATTAAAAAAGGGGTTTCTGTACCTAATTTAGAGTAGGTGTTAAAAAATTCAGAGAGCATAAATGAGCCAAACCACTCCTTATCCTTTGGAAATAAAATGAAAAGTGATACATTTAGGGTATGGAAATTTGAAGAAAGATCTTTTTTCGTTTGTGGAAAAAATTTTAGTGCTGTGGAAAGTGAGAAGGATTAGGGTGTGATATGGTACTTTGAAAAGACTTGTTTTCTTTATTGTTGATCTCAATACACCTTCTATTTTCTTTTCTTATATATCTTATGAGAGGGCACCAACCATACACCTGATTATTACTATAAATTCATGCCCAAGTGTTTATTATATTCATGTTTGTCAAATGTTGATATCGTGGAAGAAAACCAAAATACAAAAACCTTAGAATAAGCATTTTGTTTTCCAATGAAATAACTACCATTAAGTTGAAAATGTCTCATGGAGAATAGAGATGAGATTTAACTTTTATGTTGCATTTTTAGAAGAAATATTTACTAAACATTTTAAAAAACCTAGTTTTGTACGGTGAAGCCTAGAGTTACAAAAGGTGTGTTATGTTACATTAAGAAAAAAGCTAAATCATTTATATATTTTCTCTCACAACATGCATTGCCAGTGTCAACACAGATGATCAATATAAACATAAAAGACATAAAGCATGAATTTTATGTTAACCTTATACAAGATGAAACTTCAGTCTGTACTGAGCTGAAAGCACAATAACAGTCTTTAGGTTCACTCTATGAAATCATTCAATGTATTAATTAGTATTCATTTGCTCTTATTTAACTAAATACTTTAACGTAACAGTAAAACACTTTTATTCTTAATTTTAATGATGGCACTGTATGTATCACACAAACAACAAGGAACATGTGGTTTAATCTCCAGTAAAATCATTCTTCTGTTCACTTCACTCATCCACTTGATTGTTTTGTCAATAAATATTGCTATGCAAGGCTATTCTTGCACACATACACTCTTGGCTTAAAAAAATGTAGTAATTTAATTTTTAAACCCATCCTTTATTTTTTAGGAAATCATATACTCCCCCATTAATGTTAAATCTTGTAAGTTATAGTTGTAAAATGCTGTCTTCAACTATCGCCGAATATCAACTCATTGCACATGTCAATCACCTTAAAAATAAAACTGCCTCTCTGAAGCCTCATCCTGTCTTTCGAAGTTCTTCAAAATAAAACTTAGTATCCTCTCGTTATATAGTGTTATCTTGACTTAGTCTTAAGTTCAGAAAACAGCAAAACGAAACAAAAGCTTTTATTAGTTTGTTATTAATATAATTTAAACTATACTTTCATTTTCCCGGATATTCTTCTTAGTCATAAGTTTCAATACCATCAACTCATATTGTTCTATTCTCAAGAGATAATAAAATGTATAAATCTATCATTATGCTGGTACTAGTAGTAGTAGCTAATCTTTAAATTAACCATTCAACTAGGCCTAATACAAAATCAGAGGTTAGGCTTAGCAATGTGTTACTTTTGTTTAATAACTACTGCTACTAAGTCCTAGCAAATTGAAGTATTGGAACTTATAAATATCATATTACTAGTACTACTATCTTGATGTTTAACACTCAACTTTTCTTATACTATAGCGCCAAAATTATTTATTTATAAAATTATTAAACAAACTAAGTATTCTAGACTTTAAAAATAAAATAAAAAAATACCAGTTTAAAAAGGTACATTCCAAATATTTTTGAGACATGGCAAACGCAGCATACATTGCAACTTGTGAGCTGACATGCTTCCGGTCTAAGATGGCGAGAAGAAAATTCAGTGGCTGAAACAACGGTGTAAACTAAGAGTCAAAATAGTCTTGATTATGTAACTTAATAACGTATTTAAATACAAGTTTTACGTTAAAAATACATTTTTAACCTGGTACTGTTTTTGTTTATCTTTTTACCTTTTAAACATAATGTTTCCTTTTTTATATTTTTTAAGACTTTTTATTATTTGCAATAAAACAAACAGGCCCCAAGGCAAAGTATTTAGCTGCAAGAAATCTATTTAATGCTTGTTTGTTAAATTTCACGCAAAACTACAAGAGGGTTATCTGCTATGGCTGTCCCTAATTTTGAAGTGATAGACTTAAAGGAAGGCAGCTAGTTAACACCACCTACTTGGGCTACTCATTGTCAGACCGAAAAGTGTAGTTTGACTGTCACTCTTATAACGCGTCCACGGCCTCAAAGTTCGAAGCACCTTCTTCTTCTTCTTCTTCTTTTTTTTTTTTCTTTTTTAGCGTGAACCATGAAACCGCAAATCTACAGTAAGGCACATGACCCACTGGGCCATATCTAAATTAGTGAGATGTATGTTTTTCAAACCAGTACTATGCTAAACCTATATAAATATTATGGTACTATCTGTTGTATGTTCATGTAACTAGTTCAAAAATTGGTATGGAGGTTCATTAGTTCCGTGCAGAGGTACATACAAATTTTCAAGTAAGCATTTTGCGTTTTTTACCACTACCTCACCTCCTGTGGATGGATCTCTATCAAATTTGATACGGAGGTTCATTAGGTTCTTAGGAGATACATTCACGTTTTCAGTTTTGCATTTTACGTTGTGTGGTTTTTACGGGCGTTTTTTACTACTACTTCGCCTGCTGTTGATAGATCTTCACCAAATTTGGCATGAAGGTTTGTTGAGTCCATGGGGAGATACATACAAATTTTCAGTTTTGCGTTTTGCAATTTTATGGGAATTTTTATCACTACTTCGACCTCTGTTGAGGGATCTTCACCAAATTTGACATGAAGATTTTTTATGGGTCAATACAGAGATATATTCAAATTTGCGGTTTCACATTTTGTGTTTTGCAGTTTTATTAGATATAAGGGAAGCAACTTTACATGTCTTAATATTATCTTTCATTAATCATGAATCTACAACTTCCGTCCAGGGGACGGGTACTCCAACTAGTCTATATAAATATAATAGTACTGTCTGCTGTATGTCCATGTAACTACTTAGCAGGGAGCGGATAGATCTTCACCAAATTTGGAAAGGAGCTTCAATAGGTCCATGCGGGCGTACATACAAACTTTCAGTTTCGTATTTTATGTTTTGTAGTTTTTATGGGCGTTTTTGTGTTTTCGCGTTTTTCACCACTGCTTCGACCCCTGTTGATGGATCTTCACCTAATTTGGCATGAAGATTTGGTGAGCCTTGAGGAGATACATGCAAATTTGCGGTTTCACATTTTGTGTTTTGTAGTTTTTATGGGCGTTTTTGCTTTTTTTTTTTTGCAACTACATATAAGAAGCAACTTTTCATGTCCTAAGATAGCCTTTCATAAATCATGAATTTACATAACTTCTGTCCAGGGGACGGGTACTCCAGATAGTCATAAAATAAACTATTTTATTTGTTGGATCTAAAGTTGTTATCTAGTTAATTTAATGGAAACGTTTATTCAAAAAGATAAGGTATAAAAAATAATAATATACGTATTTAGGTCTAACTAGACAACTCGTGACCCCTTGGGTCACCCACTATTCAGAGGTTATGAAGAATTCAAGCTAATTTCAATATTGCACGGAAATGAAGGTTTATTTTGAGATGATTTAATTAAATATTTCAATTCATTCGTGTTATTCATAATTCAAGAAAAGATATTTGATTGTTGACCGGGAGTAAAAATAAAGACTATTTCATTTTTCAAAAAAGCGAAGACAGAGTTTTCAGGTATTGTGGTGAATTAGTTCATTATGTTGTGGTCTTTCCTCTTAAACCTTCTACAAATAAGAAACAGTTTATTTTTTCTTCTAATTACCTACCATAACCAAGTTACATTATTGAGAAAT